AGGCCGCGGCGGAGCTGCGAGCGCAGCTGCTGGGGCCCGTCTCCCGCACCGGCGCCGAGCCGACGACACTGCTGACCGGCTACACGCCAATGCCGATCGGCAACAGCTCGGCAGCGGCAACGGCTCCAGCAACGACTGAGCCTGCGCCAGCAGCCAGCCGGCCAAAGGCGGCGATGTCCAAGGCCGAGCGCCGAAGGCAAAAGAAGGGCCCGGCTCAGCAGCAGCACGAGCAGGCGCTTGCCGCTCCGCCAGAGGCCGCGCCGAAGAAGAAGAAGCGCAGGCGCGACATCCCGCCACAGCCGGAGGAGTCGTCGGCCCTCGACGCTGTGGACCTCTTTGCCACCGCTCTGCCTTCGGTCCTGGGCAGCGGCGACGCCGCTCCCTCCGCCGCTCCGCCTGGGGCGGCGAAGAGGAAGAAGGAGCGCGCCGCCTCTGCGGTGGACGCGTCCGAGATGGACGGCATCTTTGGTGACGGAGAGCCGGTCCTGGGCCCCGACGGAGACGTGTACCGTGACCTCAAGCGAGTCTGCCGCGACTGCGGCGCCGGCTTCATCTTCAGCGCGAGCACACAGCTCTCCCTGGCGGCGCGTGGCTTCTCCGGCACGAAGACGCGTTGCGAGCCGTGCGCGAAGCACAAGAAGAACCGCTACGGCTCCAAGCCGGACGGTGCGGCGACGGGCAGAGGTGGCGCCGGTGGCGCCGGTGGCGGTGGGCGCGGCAAGGGCGGCGGGCGAGGCAAAGGCAAGGGCGGCGGCCGAGGCAAGGGCGGCGGCCGAGGCAAGGGCGCGGCGAACGCCTCCAAGAGGGAGGTGCCCGGCACCGTCTCGTTTTAAATTGACTGGGTGTATAGGACGTCAGTCTCCGCATAGACGACAGAGAGGGCAAAATCCAAAAACAAAACCGCGTCTCCATAAATCTGTGTGACTACCAATAAAACACCTCCCCCACGTCTCAGTACTCTTCGACCGCGGTGTCGACGTGAGACGGGGGCGCGAGGCGCGTCCGGCGACTGTGGCGCATCGGTCGCGCTCCGTGTTTTCGCAGTATGTTGAAGAGCAAACGTCGAGTAATCCACGACCCTCGACCTCACGTCAAAGGGCGTCCCAGTTCGACTGCATCTCCTCCTCGCTGAGCAGCGGGCCCATCTTCGGGGCGCTCGATCGGACACGCGGTCCCCGAGACGAGTTGCTCTTGCTGGTGCTCCTAGCTGTAGTGGAGGCGCGGCCTGCGGTCCTGAGCGACATCGCTCTGGCGCCGCCGCCGCCGCGAGCCGCCCCTGTTTCTCTCCCCGTCTGCTTCAAGTTCGTGTTTCTCTCCGTTGGCGATGCCCTTCTTCCGCCGTCGGTGCTCACCTCTGCTGCTGCGAAGGGAGCGGGAGCCTTCTTCCCAAACGCCTCCTTCCAGCCTTCGCCTAGAACCTCCTCTGCCGGGCCCAGCGTGCAGCCACGGCTGTCGCAGACTAGGCCGCCCACCAAAAAATAGGTGTGGCTCTGCATCAACTCGCGTGCGGCCGCCTGCTCGCTTGTGAGGCTCACCTGGCTCCGCCCGCAGGTGCTAGGAGTTCTTGCGCTCTCCCCGATGTTGTCATGTGGCGATCCGGCAGACGAGAGAGGCGATCCGACAGGAGCGGGCCGACTCTCCGAGGCCCGTCCAACCTCACCTTCGACGTGCACACGCAGCGCTGCTGGCGGCCGTTGCACGCGGCCCTCGTTAATCAAAGAGGCGTAAAACGCGATCTCGTCGGGTTCGCTCACTGCCGCCGCTGTCAGCTCTCGAGGTCGTGCCTCTTCTTCGGCGGCAGAGCACTTCTGCGCCGCGACGACCTCGGCAAAGCTTGGCCACACCTCGTCGCTTGCTGCCGCACTTCTCCGCTCTCCCGCGCCAGCTCCAGGGTGGTCGCCAACGACAAGAGGAACGTGAAGCGTTCCCGCGCTCGTGCGAGCGAGGATTTCAACGGATGCGGCGGCGTGGCACTCTACTTCGATTGAAATGTCGCCGTCCTTCTCCAGCACTCCCAGGCCATCTGTCCCCAGCCCGCCGCAGTTGACGATGAAGGCAGAATGCATCGGCAATTCCAATCGGAAGACCAAATCTGCGCCAGAATCGTTGTGGAGCAGCAGCCGACGAGTCACAGGCTTGACGGCAACGTCAGCGGCACGGAAAAATAGCGCGGGAGGAGTGGCGTGGAGCCCATTGTCGGGACCGGCCATACACATTCGGGCTGCGTTTTTGTGTGCGTGCGTTTGTCTGTTACGGTTCTGTTCCGGTCTCCGAACGGTCGCGCGTCACACAAGCCCGCGGGCCCAAGTCGCGAATTGGCTTTCTTTTGGCGGGAATACCGAACAAGGTTCCCACCCACCCACAGAAATTACACAAAATCACAAAACCTTGCTTGTTCTATGGGGGGATTTAGATGAGAGAGAGAGATTTTTAGCCCCCCGCTACCCAGTCGCAGTCGTGCGACGTAGCGGGGGGCCACGACTACGTTTACGAAAACATAAGTTGTTGCGCGAGGTGTGAATTGTTCCGCCCCCAGAAGCCCCATTTCGCCTCGAGTCGCAGCAAATCTTTTGACGATGCACGCGCCCCAAAAGCGGCGGCAAAGGGCGGGTGACCGCAGTGCGTTCGCCGTTGCCTCTGAGGAATGGCCGAGGCCGGCGCGAAGGCTGCAGTCGCTGCGCTCAAGGACGCGACCCTGATCAAGTCCAAGAAGGCCGACTGGCGGCTCGTCGCCGCGGCGCAGGCCATGCTCCGCGGCGATCACCCAGATGAGTTCGCCGCGGCTGCGGCGATGGGCAAGCCGATAAAGCAGCGGAGGGAGGTCTCAAACTGGTTGGACAAGCTCCGCGAGCTGGAGCGGATGCGCGCGTCGCTGCGCAGCCAGCCCGGGGGCAGCGGATCGGCGGCGGGCAGCAGCTTTCTCGCGCAGGTGGGCAGCAGCCTCCTCGCACAGCCTTGCTGGATTGACGAGCATGCACCGGGCGTGCAGCAGCTGCGCGTGTCGGCGCCGGTCATCTCGCCCGGCAAGCAGCACGCGACGCGCTCGCTCAGCGCGGTTGTGACGACGCCGTTCGGCTCGAAGCGTCCGGCCAGCGCGACGGTCGAATACACGCTGCCACCCGACGGCGAGCCGGCGAGCGCCTCAAAGCGGCGCGGCGACCGGCACCGCAAGCGCGAGGAGCGCGCCATCAGGTCAAATGGACTTCAGCGAAGCAGCGCAGACCCCCGCCTGGGTACGGCTGCCAGTCGATGCGCCACCGTATGGGCTTTCTGCGGAGCTGCTGCTCAGTTTCGGCTTGGATTACGCGGCATCTGACCCTGATCGAGCCGGGGAGCTTGGTGGTGGGCGAGCTGCAGCTCGTTGACGAGTTGACTGCTTTTCGCGAGATCCACGTGACGGTCGACGACGCCCACTTCCGCCCCTTGTGCGGATTTCCCGGATATTTATATCCGAACGTAGGCGATTTAGATGACTACCTCAAGAATCCGGTAGCCCCAGACGGGGAGAAGTGGCCGTCGTCGATGTTGGAGAGTAATTGCTGTGGTGCGCCAGTGCAGCTGATGACGATCACCTCCGACGTGAATGGGGTAGGGCGATCAACAGATGCTACGATGGTTGCTTGGCTGCGTCACGACTTCGAAAGTGATGGCTGGGACCACGTCGCCTGGGACTTGGTAGGACGCCACCAGGTCAGTGGCGCGGTGGCGATGGGACGTGTGCCTGAGACGTCGTATGAGTACCTTGCAAAGTTCTATGATGATTTCTATGGAGACAGAGCCACGTTGCGGCAAGACCAAGCCATCATATCATCTCTGACTGCGTCGAAGACCTGTGCTCAATGCAAGGGTGATGTGCCGGATGTTGCGGTGCGCTGGCGATGCGATGCGTGCGACTTTGATTGTTGCTTGGCGTGCGGCACCTCGCAGCAGGAGGACGGCCTTAGTACGGCGGTGGGGTATGATCTGCCTCCCGCGGCGGGAGAGTCCCAAGCCGAGAGCAATCGTCGCAGGGAGCGTCACCGCAAACGCGAGGAGGCAGCTATTCGCGATCTTCACAGGTGGTGCGTGGGAGGTCGCGTGTGCGCGTGACCGTGCTCCGTGGTGTATTTATTTCGAGTTTTGGGACTTTTTGTGTAAATGTAGCGGGGGGCCCCGCCGGAGGCTGGTTACTGATAGCAATACCAAACAACTCTAACACTCACACGTAATTTGGGGCCTGGAGCCCTGTTCACGCGCGCGCGAGACGTGCAGACAGGGTTGCCAGGTGAGAGCGAATGGCGCGGTTCACGCCTCGCACAACAGAGAGAGAGAGATGCGCTCTGCATGGTGGGACATAAAAGAGAGCGAGTTTTGTTTTAGATGTGCCAAGAGAGGGGTAAATATTTCCCTAATAAATAAATAAATAACACGGGCACGCCAAACGAGGGGTGGGAGAAGGACAGGGGGTTTGTGCCGCGTCCCGTGCCCCCGAGTTCATTTTATACACTCCCCAGGACACCAGGACAGGGGGTCCCCACCTGCACGAGCAGGATCTTGTAAGGACGATCAGGGACACAGGGGAAGGGGAGCGGGGAGCGCATCGCGACACGGAGGGGGGCTGGGCGGACTCAAAGCCGGTGAGTGTGCCAGTCCGCGCCAGTCCGCGCCCTTGTCGTGCCAGTGTGCTGTTAGAGAGGCTTGTGTTCAAGAATTCTTCTTTCGCTGCCTCGCATCAAAGCTTGAGCTCTGCTGAGAGCAGACATCGAAGCGGACGGTTCCGCACAATTTTGCCGACCCCGATGCTCGCCCTCTGCCAACAAGCCCTCGCGCTCCGCTGCGGTCCGCCCATGCTGAGCACCGCTCGGCCGACGCCGGAGCCCGCTGCCGCCGCAGCGGCGGACGGCGGAGCAGTGCTGCAAGGGGAAGCTGCCAAGCAGTGGCTTGCTGAGCGCGGCATCGTCCGGCACGACATGGCGCCGCAGGACCACGACCGCGCGGGGTACCGCTCGGAGCCCGTGCGTCCCAAGGTTGGCGGGGACATGCCGGACGGGCCGCGGCCGGGCTGGTTCCACGTGCCAGCGCCGGGCGGCTCGGAGACGCGGTACGCGGAGCTCAAGGAGTCGCTAGAGGCGCGGCGCGCGGACGCAGGCGGCACCAAGCTGGCCACCGTGTGCGAGGAGGCCCAGTGCCCGAACATTGGCGAGTGCTGGAACGGAGGCACTGCCACGATCATGCTGCTCGGCGCGCGCTCTCTGCCTCTGCCTCCGCCTTTGCCTCTGCCTCTCCTCTCTCCCTCTCTCCCTCTCTTCCTCTCTCCCCGGAGCCCGAGAGAGAGAGCCTACCTCTCCCGCGGGAGCCGCTCTGCCCACACCCCACGACCGAGCAAGACGCCTCGCCGCGCCGCTCCCCTCCCACAGGCGACACCTGCACGCGAGGCTGCAAGTTTTGCGCCGTCAAGACGGACGCGGCGCGCGAGAGCCTCCGGACGGAGCCGCGGAGCACCGGGAAGCTTCTAGGAACCTTC